CTACTTCAGAAATGATTGGTGGGAAGATACTTAAGGAGCTGAAAATTTATCTTCTAACTAATTTAGTCTACTAATGCCTTACTTGCTTGACAGAGATTGCTAAAACTGTTCTCGCTATCTCTAGTCATAAGAACCGAACAAAATAGAATGCCACGGTATCTCCTCCCAGTCTCAATTATGGAAGCCTACACTATTGATGACACACTATCCCTCTTAGTCGTTGAAATCATAGCTTAGTCTCTTTTAAGTACTAAGGGATTAGGCTATAGTGATTAACTATATCCAATTGTTTATGTTAATCTTACTCAAGTTTCTCTCGAACAGTTAAGAATTAATGGCTAGATTTCTCTCGAACATCTAGTCTTCATCTAAGAAATGGACGCTCTCATGCCTCATACAATCTTAGAAGATGAAGCACACATAAACAAAACAAGTAAAATCAAAAGATAAAGATTAATCAACCATTAAAACAAAGTTTTCAAGCATCCATCAAATGAACCCGACCAAATATAGCTTAGTTCATGGTGGGGTTCGAATAAACCACAGAAAATATCCAGTCATTCATTCAACCAAACAACTCAAATAAGTTTTCAATATTTAACAATGGAGCAAAGGTAGGAGAAGAAAACACTTGGTGTGCACGACCGACGCTTCCTCAAACCACCATGAATGGCTATAGCATGAGCTCCTATTGGATGCTTACGCCACTTCCTCGTGCTTCACTAATGGAGGAAAATCAAGAAAATGGAGGAAGAAAAATGGTGGAGAAGATGATGATTTTTCAAGCTTGGTCACCATCCTCTTTATCTCTCTTGTGTGGTGTCCTTTTATAATAAAAATATCTAAGGGTATTCTTGGGAATTTTGTACTCAAAATACCCATCATACCCCCAAATTCATTCCTTGGGCGTGATGCTTATCTCTACAGGTGGCAGTGGACCCCTTCAGGCGATTACAAGCAGTAGACACGTGCTTTGACATCCGTCATTTTGTAAAAATATCTTTTTGTCATTTTTCTGCGCCAGAAATACCAAGACATTTCAATATGCTTTAGCAATGTGTGATGTCACGACATTCCTTCCCAGCTCGCCATTTTTCTTGTTATTTCCTGCACATCACTAAAAACCACACATTCCTCTTCATACAACACCTTAATAAAATAAAATAACACAACCACCACAAATGCAATTTTATATAGCTACATACATCTAAAATGACCTATATGGATCCTTAAACAAACAATAACTTAAGTGAAAAATGTCTTACAAGTAGTCTTTTTATGGAGTTATCAGCTTACTCGAGGAAGTTTGTGCATTGTTAACGATAAACCTCTCACCATGTGGGTTTTCCACTATGGGTGCTTGCTCTTGTTATGAGATATGTGTCTCCAATCCTTGAAGACTTTCATCAAGAGGCTCAAAATTTCAATGATCCATGGGTAGAGCAGCCTCATTGGAAGAAACATCCCCCATAACTGCTTCACCGTCAGCCGTCATACCTTCCTCTCCCCTTCTCATAGAGGACAAACCATGCATTCCATTACCAGTTACGTGATTTGTGTTCTCATACAGGAAAACTGCTTTTGGGGGAGCACAAACCGTGAAGTCATTATTAAATACTTTATCAACTCTAGGTGGGCCCTCCCTTTATCTAATGAAACATTGAGAATCTTATTGTTCTGCATTTGATTATGGCTATCTTTTTGTTCCCTGCCTTTATTAGATTCCTTTTCATGCACATTGTCAGTTGTCTTAAATGCCGTCGAATTATCCAAGATATCATTCAAAGGGGTGAATCTTGACCCACCTTTTTCTTTCCCATGATTCCTTACTTTCTCTGCATCCTCCCCGAGATTCCAGGAGTTCTTCCTAGATTTTTTACTTTGGGCAATCATCCAAGGACCAAAATCAGCGGATGAAGATTTGGCGCTTTCTATCGGCAGTTCACCAACCTCAGTTACTTCGATGGTGTTCTTGCCATGGTATTAAATTGCGGCCGCAATGCAGTGTAACGGTCGTAACGGTTTTGAAGGTTATCGTGACACAACACAATTGCCCGTGACAGCCAGAACACGTTAAAAAATCACGCCCGCAACAGCCGCAACACATTACGTAACGTCCACAGCATCCGCAACCGCGACAGATGCTGTAACTGCTATTTTATACTATGGTTCTTGCCATCTTCCCCCTGGTTGTTCTATCTTCTTTCTCCGCACTAGTAGTTGCAAGAGCAATAATCGAAGAGCAGTCTTTATGGACAAACATGCCACACTTAAAGCAAATCATGGGCAAACCCTCATATTATATATGATACGAGACATCATCCACTTCAATCTTCGGCACTAAAGGACGACCAAACTCAATTTCAACACAAACACGAGCGAATCTCCCCTTGGACGCGAAGCTCGTGTTACTATCGACCTTGAGAGCACGGCCTAGAGTATTTCCCATTGCAAATAACATTCGCTCGTTATAATATTGGACCAGTAAACCAGGAAAATGAACCCAGACCGCCCTGGAGTCATTCGTCGTAGTCCATGGGTGAAATTTAGTGAACCATTTGTGGACTGTTAAGTAATGTCCATATACGATCCAAGGCCCTTCCTCCATGGCAAAATGGAGATCCTCCAAAGATGAAAACTTAGCCAGGTAGTATCATTCCCCTTCGTCTATTAACTCGTATTCAGCCTTGGGCATCTACATTTTCCTGATTCTCTCGTCCAGAGCGTGAAAGCCAATTGTTCTACCCCAAAAGTTTCAGAATCAAGCAGTTCGACCAACATATATTAAATCTATTTCGGAACTTATCAAAAGTACGCAATGCCGGCCAATTTTCTTTTCTGCTCACAGATATCAAGACATCTTTTTCACCTGTAAGACCGAACTCATCTGATTCCTGAAAGCTGTAAATCAAACTTCTTCCTAGAAACATATTTCTATAAGAATTTTTTTCCCTCCCAGCATCAGTATCAGCCGACCTCGCCAGGGGTTCATCACTAGAAATAGGAGTAGACCTAGTAGCGTCATCCATCACCAAATCCACATGAGAGCAGAGAGCTTCACCGGACGCTTTTATTTTTTTCTTACTCCTCATCAGCAAATCACGTTCTTGATCGGATCTAGTGGGGTGTTCAAGACTCTCGGAGGGTTCCATCGATTCAAAACAGAGTAATGATACTTATAGGGGGATAAATGTCATTTCTATAGCATTAATAACATTAATAAAATGTATTTAAATATTAGAGATCATTTGTGTAGTTGTCCTTTTTAATTTTATATATTAGGTAACCTCATTAATTTGTTAAAAGTTTAACGGTAGGTCACATTTTTTAAAATTTTTTAATTTAGTCCTTAATTTTTTCAACTTTACAACTTGGTCCCTTTTAAAACAAAAATTGATACAAAACTATAGTTAATAATCAGTCATGGATTAAAACCTTCGAATAATCCATTTTTTCCTTTTTGAAAATATAACATTTTACCCCACATACTTTGAAATATTTTCAGTGAAGTCCAACATCTCAAATGGTTAAGAAAGTTTAGATATTGAAGTGAGAAAATAAATATAGTTGAAAACCAAAATGAGTAATAATTCTTATTCTTCTAACAAAGAAATTTTAAAAGTTGCTTTTAAAAAAGATTAATAAGAAAACTATCGGATTGATCTTGTTTATTCAACAGTGTCGGTGTAATTGACTAGGGCTGTAAATGAGACGAGACAGATCGCGAGCTATTCGAGATCGATTCGGTCAAAACTCAATCAACACTCGAATCGAATGAACTCGACTCGAATTCTTAACGAGCTAAAACGAGCTACTTAATACTCGACTCGAAAAGCTCACGAGTTACTCGAAAAAAATGTTATATTATAATTTTAGATTTTTTAAAATTACATTATTAAAAATATATTAAAAATACATTATTGATAATTATAAATTTTTAAAAATATATTTTTAAATGTAATATAAGATTTTTGTAGGTTCAAATTCGAGTTTGAGTTCGAGCTTGAATCAAGCTTCAATCGAGCTCTTGAATTTTTTTTTTGAGTTCAAGCTTTTTCGAATTCGAGTTGAGCTTTAATATTATATTTCGAGTTCGAGTTGAGTTTGATAAATTTTAGCTCGCGAGTTTTCGAGTCGAGTCGAGCCTAATTTTAAACTTTTTGAGTCTAGCTCAATAATACTCGATCTCGACTCGACTCGGCTCGACTCGTTTACCGCCCTATAATTGACAAGGATGATTTATCCTTTAAAATCATCAGATTCCGACCTTATATTATATGATTGAATTTCCACGTAACAGGTTATCATTGGTGAACTAAATAGGATAGCAACATAATGTGATCTAGGCTTATTTTGTCCAGCCGATTATTTTGCATGCGATACATATTTTAGCACAATCGTATCCTGATGCGTCTATTTCAAATTAAATGCTCTGCTTTCTCTCACCTTTCATCTATTTCAATCGGACGGTCCTCAATCTCACCAACTACCTACCTTCAATTATTTCAATCCAACGGTCATAAGTCTCCAACTCACCAAAGAATGTGCAGCCCATCCCATTTGACCATCTTTTTAGGGTAAATTTCAAGTTTAATATTTCAACTATCACTTTTGTTCCATTTTAGTCAATTAACTATTATTTTTTCAAAATCATATTTAACGTTACATTTTGGTTTCATTTTTGTCACATGTCATTAAGAAAAATTAATACAACTGTCGGCATGATATTTTTGAATTTTTTTTCAATGATGATGTGGTGTTACCTTATGGTCACACGCCAACATCACTGTGAATTATTTAACAGTAGGTGACCAAAATGTAACTTATGTATGATTTTGAAATATAAAATAGTTGAGTGGATAAAACAAAATAAAAGTGCTAATTTATGTACAAAATGTGTAATATACCTTTCCTCATCACCATTTCAGTGTAATGTCTATATATAGAAGTCATACACAGTTTACTTACTCATTATAGTGTAGCCGAGGAGACCGGAATCCATGGCGGCAGCAAAACCAGTGATCAAAGTGGCCGCCCTATGTGGGGCAATAACTAAAGGCTCTCACAACAGAGCCTTACTTCGTTATGGTATTAATGTTCTTGCTTTGGTTTATGGAAATACTGATTTTCTTTTACCTGTTGACGTTTAAATGAATGTTCTTGTTTTTGTTTCTGGGAAATGTTGATTTGGGTTTTGTTTTGTTTCAGCTATTGAGTTAACTAAGCAAGACATTGATGGGATCGAGATTGATTACGAAGAAATTGCACCACTTCCAATGTTGAACACCGATCTCGAGGTTGACGGCAAGTATCCGGCGGTTGTTGAGGCTTTCCGGCAGAGGATTTTGGCGGCTGATAGAGTCCTCTTTGCTACCCCAGAGTACAACTACTCCGTTACTGGTATTATCCCATCTCAGTTTTCTCCTTGCATTGTACTGTATTATTATCTGCCGTGTTAAAAGTATATTACTTATCTGCACGGTACTAGCACCCTTGAAGAATGCAATTGACTGGGGATCTCGACCACCGAATGTTTGGGCTGATAAGGCGGCTGCCATCGTAACTGACGCCGGGAGTTTAGGCGGTGCGCGGGCACAATATCATTATCGTCAAATTGGGGTGTATCTTGATCTTCATTTCATCAACAAACCCGAGTTTTTCTTGAATGGATATGGGTCTCCACCTAAGTTTGATGGTAATGGCAACCTTATTGACCAAGCTTCCATGAAGAAAATGAAGGAAGTTCTTCTTTCCTTGCAATCATTTACTCTGCGACTCCGAGGTAAGCGCTGCTCAATCCATTATCAATAATTTTATGCAAATACAAACACTCCACTTTTAAAACAGAAAAAATATCTAAAATTTCAGTAAATGAGTACCTCTAAACTAAACAAACATTTTATATAATTATTAGCGTAAGAAATTTATTATTTATATAACATATAGAGACTATACAAGATAAATATTAAAAAAATTAAATAAAATATAAATACAAATAAATATGATTGAATCAACAAACGAACTGCAACAAGGGATCAAATTACTAACATATTACCAACAATCGTAAATCAAAGTTAAGTATCGTGAAAAAACTATCTTCAGCATAAATTGCTTATTCAAATCCAATCCGATAGTCCAAAGCATTGAAGTTCAACATAATAATAAATAAACATCTTATTGATCATTCACCTCTCATCTTGAGAAAATAAAAAAAAACATGCAACAATCAAAATGATAGATAAATAAGACCGAAATAATATCAAAAGACAAAAAAACTACACATAAAAAACTAATCATTACAAGTTAGAAAAAAAATAAGAGAAAAGTAAATATGAAAGATTAAAAAATTAAAAAATATTAACGGTTGACGATCAATACTAAAGTTGATGTTGTCGCCCACTAATAAAGATGAAAATGTAAAGGGACTAAGTGCATAAAGAAAAGAGAGAAAACTAGGGCTGCTTGATTGTTTAATTATTTTGTCCTAAAATGCAATATGACTTGACAAAAGCAACATTTATATAGGTATCTTTCACTTGCTAATTGACCTGTTCCATTGATGTAGGCTGCAATTTCAATCATTCAACAATACCAGAGCTCCCAAGGAAGATTTGCAAATTATCGGAGGAAGCACAAGACTTAACACCATTCCCTGATGGAATTCTTGCGCAAAAATTCCATACTAGCTCACAATACAAGCGTGGAATAACATCTGAGCCTTATGATTGGTATGGTCGGGAAGCCTGCAACAATGAGTAAATTTCAAGACATCCATTTGGGGCTCAAGAACAGAAGGTACACTCCTAATGTTAGGGAAAGGATGTATAAATTCGCATTGGTTGCGTCTTGGGTGTTCTTCCTCATCGTATTCATGCTGGATTATAGGGTAAAGATTGCTGAGGATGCTTGCTGCAAGAGGAGCGTATTTGGCAAGGGCCTTGATCTCTGGAAGGCCTATACTTAAACTGCTGTGCAGGGTCGCCATAGCAGACGCTCTGCTTTTTTATGCATGGGGGAATTGTTGGAATAAGATCAAGCTATGTTATTGCTTGGCTTGTAACATAATCTCTTCTACTAATATTGTTTCAGTTGACATGCTGTTTTGTATTACAAGTCGTTGCTGCTGCTTTTGGTCTGTGCTTTAATGGAAGTCTGCAGCTCCATTTAGCCAATCTGAAGTTAATAACAGTTTTATCAGATGTTTGATTAATAGCTAGAGATGGAAGTGGATCCGGCACTTTTCGATAATATTATTTATTGGATATCTAAATTCGATGTTCTTTTCTATGATTATCGAACCATTTATCACAACCATTTCATTCAAGTCTCAAACACCACATCCATGAGATGGAGACAACATAGTGAGACAAAGTTTGTGTTTCAATAAATATAGTTTTCATCGATTTATGAGAATGTTCCGTGATTATGTTTTCTTTTTTCTGGATGAAGTGCACTAGTGTTAGAAGATTTGTTCGAACCATTTCCGGTACTAACTTTGGCTGTACTAGGGCAAGTTCCACATGAAGCACACTTTCCAGTTGTAAGGAAAAATGGTTGTGGAGCAGTGTGCTTCGTTCAAACATTTTGTTGCAGAGTGTTTTGATAAATGTATAGATATTCTTGATTTGTTATTCTTCGTTTTGTTAGTGTCAAGAGCGGAGCTTAACATGCTCCGCTCATTCTTAGCGTTCTCAATTAGTTTTGTTCAAATTTCACTATTGAATTTTTAGTAGTGTACGTAGGATTCTATTTTAAGGAACCAACTTATAAAAGTTTAGAAGGGGTAAATTTATAAAATTCTAGTGTGAGAGAAAATCAATTATCAGTAGAAGATATACAGAAAAGTATAAAATAGAAGAGAATTTAAAAATTTGAGGCGATTGTCCCCACATGCTTTCTTCGATCCATCCCTACTTCAACCCTCACACTTTTTCTCTTTGGAGCTTCTTTTGTCCTTGAAACTCAAGAAATCGAACCAAAATTATTCCACGACACGAAGATAGAAAAATTTGAATGAAATAATGGTGATGAACGGTTTGACAGTCATTAGAAGATGGTAAAACTCTTGAATGTGGTAGGTGTTTGTGTTTAGTGATGACAATAATCTAAAGAACATTAAACTATTGCGATATAAAAAGGAGGCCAACGACTTTAAAATAATATAAGAAACTTAGGAAGGGAAGAATATGACTTTAACGTGTCAAGTCAATATTTTTTAACGATAGTGACTATAATAAAAGCGAAGAAAATTTTAATGATTGCATTACAAGTTTTAAAATTTTGGTAACCAACATGCAGGTGTCATAAAACATTGGTGATTATTTTTGTAGTTTAGCCTTTTAAAAATAAAAAAGAAAATAAGACTGACCTATTTGACTTTTTGAGATTCAGTTTCTGAACAAGAGTTGTCTTTTAGGTAATACAAAGGAACATAAATCATTAATCGGTTTGCAATTTAGACAACATAAGAGGGAAAACAAGATCAAGACTTAATGAAACTAAAATTAGTTGATAACCGGTAGGTTTTAGACAGTCTAAAAATGGCAATCACGTTCATCAGTTCACCGTATTATCCCCTCCAAATGTTTGGTTTCCGAGAAAATTTAGGAGCTAAACCCCGGAAATCGTAGGAAAAACTTTTTGGGTTGTTTTTTTGCTCTATCCCAACCAAACAAACCAAAAAGAAAAATTCCCCAGAACCTAAGAGAAAGAGAAAAGCAACTCAATCCTCTTCAATCTAGCACCTCCCATTTCTCTGTAATTTTACTTCCAACTTTTTGCAAAATGCCCATTTCCTAAAACCAACTTGACTATCCCAAAAACTCAACTTTTCAGAGAAAAAGAAATGAAAAGATTGGGTTTTTGTTTGTTTAGACAATTTCATTTCCCTCCATTTTCCCCTTAATTTTTCGTTTTCATGAAAATTCACATATAGATGCAATAAAAAAGACAGAAAGAAGAGAGATGGATATAATTTTTTTATCATTGGTTAAAGAAAGGAAATAGGAACTTGTAGCTTGAAAGATACAAGTTTTAATTTGTTTCATACATAGAATGAACAAATGAACAAAAAGCTTGGCTTTAGAAAGGCCTTGGAAAATAGACTAAAGAAATCACAAGTTGCTGCAAAGAAGAAAGCAATCAGCATATTTACAGCGATGTCAGTGGCTCATGTTGATGATGAAGACCCGAGCCCTGGTGAAGTTCGCCATGTCGAAAAAGCCCTTCCAAAAGGTGAATTCTATACAGGCCAATGGTGTGACAATTTGCCTCATGGTGATGGAAAGTATTTATGGCCTGATGGATGCATGTACGTTGGTGAATGGTGTAAAGGCAAAATGGTGGGGAAAGGCAAGTTCTCTTGGCCTTCGGGGGCCACCTACGAAGGCGAATTCAAGAGTGGCTACATGGATGGAAATGGTACTTATACAGGTTTTTCAGGAGAAACATACAAAGGGTCTTGGGTTATGAATTATAAACAAGGAGAAGGTATTCATTGTTATGCCAACGGGGATTGCTACGAAGGCCAATGGCGCGGTGGATCGCAAGACGGACAGGGGAAGTACCTATGGAAGAATGGGAACCAATACATTGGTCAATGGAAGAATGGATGGATGAATGGTGATGGAACAATGATTTGGAGTAATGGGAATAGATATGATGGTTCTTGGGAAGATGGTTTTCCTAGAGGAAATGGGAATTTTAGATGGCCTGATGGGAGCTTTTATGCTGCTATTTGGAGTAAAGATGGTCAGGATCAGAATGGAACTTATTATCCGTTCGGTTCATTGACCGATAATCTCGAGGATCCTCAAAGGGTGTTTTTAGAGGATTTGAAAGAATGCAAGATATGTCCTGGTGAGAAAGTGTCAATATTGCCATCACAAAAGATACCAAATTGGCCTGCAATGGCTAAAAGGAATGAAGGGAGGCAAAGGAGATTGTCGAAATTACATAACCATAGTTGTAGTTCATATGTGAATGATGTTTGGAATGCTGAAGGGTATTCAAGGTTTGAAGATGGAGCAGTGGGAGCTCCTAATCCTGAATATAGTTCAAGAGCTTGTGTGCCACCGCTTATGAAGATGACGAAGAAGCAAGGCCAAATGATATCGAAAGGCCATAAGAATTACGATCTAATGCTCAATTTGCAACTAGGTATCAGGTAGTGATTTTTTACTTGAACCTTAATGTTGCTTTGTATGGAGTTTATGTACTTGTTATGTTTTGATTCCTTTTTCCTGTCATTTGGTTAGAATTTCATTCCTTACAGCTCAGTTTGAGATATAATGATTTAGTGGCCTAAACATGTGTGTGTTGATTCTCTGGTCACATTGTAGACATTCTGTTGGAAGGCCTGGTCCAGCCATATCCCTTGACCTAAAACCTTCGGCTTTCGACCCGAAAGAAAAAATATGGACCAAATTTCCTCCTGAAGGATCCAAGCACACTCCACCGCATCAATCCTGCGATTTCAGGTGGAAAGATTACTGTCCACTTGTATTCAGGTTAGAAATCCAACTCTCTCCATTACAATCCATTTGGAAATATAACTATTATTGGTTACACAAAGTATTTCCTGACATGTATCGTTTTTACATTTCCAGGACCCTTAGGAAATTGTTCAATGTGGATGCAGCTGATTACATGCTTTCGATATGTGGGAACGATGCCCTTCGTGAACTATCATCTCCTGGAAAAAGTGGAATGTTCTTTTACTTGACCAATGATGACAGATACATGATAAAGACCATGAAAAAGGCTGAAGGAAAAGTAAGTCTCCTAGTTGTTTTGTGTCATATCTGTAGGCAGTACACACTGTAGATCGAGAAAGTTTCGGTAAATGACAATATCCATCCCTTACATTTCAGTAGTTCATGAATTTTCGTATTTTCGGAAACTGTTTGCATAACTTAAAAGTGCACTAATCACTCTTAATGACTAATGTTGCAGGTTCTCATAAGAATGCTCCCGGCCTATTATAACCATGTTCGGTCATTCCAGAACACTTTAGTCCCAAAATTTTTTGGTCTTCATTGTGTGAAACTAACTGGTTCAGCGCAGAAAAAGGTAATGTTGATGTTACATAATTTCCAATCCGAAGTCATAAGATTTCAGGAATCAGTCTCATACTCTCTTCATTTGGGATTTAATGAGTCAGGTACGCTTTGTTATAATGGAGAATCTATTCTGTACTCGCTATGCCATTCATAGGCGATTTGACTTGAAAGGCTCTTCACATGGCCGCACAACTTATAAACCCGAATCTGAAGTTGATCCGACGACAACCCTCAAGGACCTCGATCTCAATTATATATTTCGATTGCAGAAACTATGGTTCCAAGAGTTTTGCAGGTGATTTCTTGATACATAAATACAATCATCATCTTCTTTTGCACAAGCTTTTAAGTATGGTTAAAATATATGAATGTTTGGGGTGAATTTCATGTAGGCAAGTCGACCGAGATTGTGACTTTCTTGAACAGGAGAGAATCATGGACTACAGTCTGCTGATTGGTTTTCATTTTCGAGAAGTTTCTTCGTCCGGTTCTACCGAAGTTGTCACGCCTACCGGTTATTTCTAGTCATCCCTGGAATTCAAATCTTCCATGACTCTGTTATCCGTGATCTCTTACCTGATTAAGATATGTTTTGGACTTAATTTGCAGGGTATCAAGATCCCGAAAACGAAGGCAGGCTATCTCAAGCTAGCAAGGATCAGCTTCCTGCCGATCCCTCTCGGTAATATGAACATCTTTCAGTTTAATCTTAAAAGTTTACATGACTTACATGTGATGATCTTTCAAGATGATAACTACAGGTGGTCTTCCATTAGATTGGGTATAAATATGCCAGCTCGGGCAGAGAAGATGGTGAGGAAACCGGATTGTGAAGCTCAGCTAGTCGGAGAACCGACCGGTGTATTCTATGATGTGATCCTCTTCTTCGGTATAATCGACATTCTTCAAGATTACGACATTACCAAGAAGCTCGAGCATGCGTATAAATCGATGCAGTATGATCCGACATCGATATCGGCTGTAGATCCGAAGCAATATTCGAAACGCTTTCGGGATTTCATGTTCAAAGTTTTTGTAGAGGACACTTGAGAAAATAGTTAGACTTCGAAGAGATTTCAACTTGGAAAGATAGTGTCCATTCACGCTCATTCAATCATTTTTATGGAGATTCGAGTGTTTAAACGGAGAAGATTATCACTTCGGTCATTCACATGGCTATGGAGGATGATCAATGGCTGCGCGGGACACTGTTTCGTAATTCAGGGTAGTTTCTCAGCACACGTTCTCCATCTCAATCACTTTACAGTTGAAGATATAAGATATGTTATAGATTACTCGAATATGAGTGCATTTAATTTAAATAGAATGTCGAATATGAATATATTTAATTTAAAGTTTTCTTTTATGTATTTGGAGCAATGTTTTGAGAATCATATCATTGTATTCGTATTATAATCATTGAACATTGATTCAAATGTGTAAATGAATTGACGAAATCAGTATTTGACTTCATCTCATTTGAAGTTGAATTTGAGTTATTGCGAGTTATATTTAAACATTTGACTTGAACAGTGGGCGAGTTTAATCATTTTTTTAGGTAAATTATGTGTATAGTATCATTTGTTTTCGTTTTGACTACCGGTTTAAAAGTTAAACACTTTTGATCTCTTACGTTATTAGTCCGTCTAATTTAAGTTCATCAATCGTTAATGTCCATTAATTCATTAACAGAAGTATTATATGACAAATAATTATTTTTAAAAAAAATCACACGTCTCTTCTTCAACTCAGACTACAATTTAACCAAAAGCTATGGGTTTTACACAGTGACGGAAGATAATGAAGACTAGAGGGGGATATGTCCTCCCAAAAATTTGAAAAATTAAAGTTTAGGCCTTAAAATTTCTAAAATATTTAATTTAGTCCCCACAAAATTTTTAGAAATCTATATTGTCCTTAAAATCCTCTTCTGCAACCTCCATTCATGGCCAATGAAATGAGCAGTTACACCATTAAAATGATCATCGCAATTGGATTTTCATGTACAGAATCTCAAACATTCGCCCAGGACATGTAGTAGCAGCAATCAACGTGTCATGGGAAAGAGACACGATCGGTAACAGGTTTAAAGCATGCTTCGATCAAACGCTGATCTACGTCATGATTATTGCGTTTGACACAAGCTTCAATGTGTCGTTTCAAGTGAGAAGTACCGCTAGCGATTTTGGCTGTATATATTCTCCTACATAGATTACATATAGCCTTGGAATCTTCTTGTTTCAGCTGAGAGATTCTTGGAAAAATCTGCAATTGAGGCGATGGAAACAATACTCTTACAAATCTAAGTTATTGTTGGAAATGTTGGTGGGTATTCGATCAACTTATTACTCGTATAATATTATTAATACGAAGTACAAGTACAACACGATCACTAGCTTTAACTAGTTTACAAACACCACCAATATAGCTTTGCTAAGCTTTCTCAATCTCTCGGTTTTTCTACTACTCTCTTCACTCACTTGCACATACACATGCTGCTAAAACTACAAATTACACACTTATATATATAGTTAGTAAACCGCCATTATTTCTTTTAATTATTAAGTATTATAGCAGCTGCCTTTTCAATCCTTCACGTGGACATGTTTATATCCAAGCAAACTTTTCTTGCCTTGCCAAAACTCTTTTCCTTTGCTGCAAAATCTTTGTTGCTGTCACGTTTGCACTTTATCTTCAATTTGCTATTGTTTTGTTTGCTGCCACCTACAAGCTTTGATCATAAGTTGCCACGATTCAAGCTTTGTGTTTCCATTTCAATTTTCCAAATGGCCATTTCAATATCCATGCATTTCTTGCTAACATGAAAATTTGGTTTGTCTTCTAACAATTATAAGCAAAACAAAGAAAAGATAGGATAGAGTTGAATTAAGATCCAGCTGAAAAAAAATGAGCTTACCTGGACCAAGCTTTTGATCGAAGTTATCCATTTGTCGCTATTACCGAAACTCCAGAAAATGGTGAGAAACAATGCATCAGTTCTAATGAAGCGAAGTCCATTAATGAGCCCTGAAAAACCTGGAAAACATTGAGATGAGTGAATCCATAAATTCAACACCTCGGGCAGTTAGCAATTTTAGGAAGAGAGGTAAGATGATAGTGACCGCGTGATACTTCCGTTAATGGTTATTGGTTAACAAACATTAACAACGAGAGATTAAGGTCAAATAGATTGATAATATAAGGGACCAATACGTATAATTTTTGAACCAATGACTAAAATCGATAAGACCGAAAACAAACGAGACTATATGAACAAGACTATTCATATAGTTTATTTTTTTCACTTTTAATATATATATGTAATTGTAAAATATAGATTAAAAGTAAAAAAAATAATAATAGAAAGAAACGGAATAAATCCCTCACTCTCAACCCAAGCGAAGAGATAAGAAACAAAGAGATGGGGGAATTTGGGGCCTCTTGCAAAGAAAAAAAGTGATGAAGAAATTTGAAAAAGGTAGCAGCTTCAAGTGAGAGGCATGTTTCTTGGATGAGCATCGGCGAAGGCTGAAACTTGTGGTGGTGCCTCTTCAATCCAAAGCTAAAGCGGCAGCAAACAAATCGAAGGAGAAGGGCAATGTTGTTGACAGATATGAGTTATAAGCACTACAGCAAAACAGTTTATGGGTTCTTTTAGCGGCGTTTCTAGTCAAAACACCACTAATTTTTTGGCATAACACGGCATTTACGGATAAAATGTCACAAAATAAAAATTGTAACGGCGTTTATAGAATAGTGTAGCAAAATTTATATATTTTTCGTGACATTTGTATTAAAAACACCGCTATAAATTGATATATGGCAGCGTTTCTGTGTAAACACAACTCCAAATGCGTATACATTAGTGGCGTTTAATAAACGCCACAATACCCGAGTCCAAATCCCTAATTTTCCTCCTCATTTCACTGCTTTTGGCTTTGGAAAGCTGGTTCAACGCAAGGTGAAATCCCTGAGCAGCTTACTAATTGTTTCAGTCTGGCTAATCTGTAAGCATTTGTTCTATTTCCCATCCACTCTTGTTCATTCTATAGTTCGTTGGACTTGTTTATGAGTTTCAAAATCCGTGTGCTCTTAGATGATTATTTCTGGATTAAACAAAGCGGTTTTTGCTTTGCTTTATTTTTTTATTCATTTTCGGTTATACAAATCTTCTGCGTCTAAGTGAAAAGACCCAAAATTCATGGGTTTCTATTGAAACAAAGAGAACTCGAGTTTTCTTTAAGTTGAAACAAAAAGGAAAAACAGAGCCGAATCCTATATTTTCATTTTCTCGAGTCTCCTTCCTTCTCACCACTACACATTACCAAGTTCCTTTTTCACTCAGTCATTTCTCAACTTGTTTTGTTTCAGCTGCCTTGAATCTTGTTGGAAATTTGCATCAGAGAGAGTGAATTACTTGGTACCCTCTTTAATATTTGATATTATCTTTAGTTATTTATGAAGTTCTCATGTTAAATAACCAAGTGTTATAATTTTTTCTACAAGGTTTTGATCTTGTTGCTACACGGATGAAAATGGGTTGTCATGAATCTTGCTTTTAAAAAAAATCATTGAGTAATTCGACTGAACTTCACTAAAAATTTGTCTATTTTTTTTCACGGATTTCATATTGTTTTTTTGCAGATATCAACGTTTGTTGAATTTTTCCAAGTTTGATTTGTTATTGGAACATTTGAACAATGCTGTCTGTTTGCTCAGCCGCTGCTGGTTGTTCTTCACATTCTCAGGTGGAGTTTTAAATTACTTGAACCATAAATTTTTATCTTTTGCACACTACTTGGCTAGCTTGTGCTGCTTTTATGTGTTTAGATTTTTTCTGGATTCTTGAATGTTTCAAATTTCAAACCTGCATAATTAACTTTCAATTGAATTTATGGAATGCAACTGCTGTGGAACACTAACCAGTTTCGATGTTGAGTTTATACTAATTGGTTAGTAAGTGAATAGAGTTGTAAAGAGGGGAATGCTTTGTTTAAGCGAAGACCAAAATATTTCCTGATCATTTTGAGAATTTATGTTTATAGGATAGATTACTAAACAATCGAATGTATTTCCCATGAATCGAAATTGTGATGTTGGTTAGTAAGTTATATAAAATCCTCTATTCATTTGACGAACATGAGCAAGAAACAGTCCATTACTAATATTCTTGTAACTAGTTATTAATATTATTGTTTGTTTATTACATATATTATGCTTAGGAGGAAATTAAGTGACATGCGGATTGTTCAAGCTCCTCAAGAGGAGGAAGAAACAAATAATGAAGAACCGATTGGTGGTGGATCTTCGGAAGCTTAGGTTATGCTTAGGGTGATGCTTAGGTTATGCTTTGTTTATTCTAGCGAACAATGTTGAACTATGTTACATTTAAGTTGGATGTTTGTAAACTTTGATTAATTCATATTTTACGTATATTAACTTAATTTGAATCGTAATTACATTTCAAGGTTGTTATTGGATATTATTACAGGTTAAATTTAGGTCATACAAAGTAGGGAAAAAACATTTTGAAAATCAATTGTGATTAGTGGCGTTTTAGGATAAAACGTCACTAATAAAGTACATAATTAGCGGCGTTTGTGAGAAAACAGCCACCATATACATAATTATTAGCGTTGTTTTCAACTAAAACGTTGCTATATACCATACTTTCTGCGGCATTTGTATCTAAAACGCCTCTAAATAACTTGACTTACCGTTAAATAAACTAACTTTTTCCGGCGTTTGTATCTAAAACACTGCTAAATAACCTAACATTTTACAGCATTTGTATCTAAAACGCCGATAAATAACCTGATTTTTTGTGACATTTGTGAAAGTAAAATGCCGCTAACCATTGTGGTGTTTGTATAGTCGGCACTTCTTGTGGCATTTTTTTTACGCTGCAAGTATTTTTAGCGTCGCTTTAAAATGCTGCTATAGAAGTAAAAAAACGCCGCTATAGATCTATTCTGCTATAGGGAATCATCTCTCATCTCATTCATTTTCTGGATTAAGGTTCTCGAGTCACTCATCAGTTGGAAGTCCAGGCCAGCCGCAAAGAGGAGACCATATTGAGCCGCCCTCGTCTGCCAGGAATATTGAAACAAAAATCAAGTTGGGATTTGATTCATTTCGGATAATGAAACCTGAATAAGCTTTGTTAATTGCAGCTGCAGGTATGTCAACATTTATCTTAACCCAATTAGGCAAAGGAGGAACCAAAGCAGATGCGTGATTTTGCAGGGAGGTCTCATAATCCTGTAACAAAGGTAACTTATACATTCCACCCCTTGGAGTCTACCTTCATGAAGTTGTTTGGTTCGTGCAAACCATATTACCCATATGGTGTATGCTGCAATTCCCTTTTTGCGGTCTCTGCAACTGTCAAATATTCATGAAAGCCCTTCCAAATAAGATTGGTGATTAACATTAGCCGACCAACTAACATTAAGCTGTTGCAAAAAACCACAGTCTCGAAAAATATGAACTCTGCCTTTAGGAGCAGCTGATCGTTTTTACAAGCTCCATAGTGACGGAAGTAATAAAAGGATAGACTATAATTTTATTTCAAAATTTGATATTTAAAAAGATTAGCTTAAAAAATTATTTTATCAGTTTTCAGTCTGTTTGTTTTGAATGATTAATAAATATCGTTTAAAAGAATTTAAAGTTTGTATTATTTAGAGTAATTAAATCCATACATCCATTTAAGGTTTGTATTTTAAATTTAAAATGTAAAAATGGGGCCTTATAATTCTACAAATGTAATCTCTACTTAAGAATTCATTTGAATGTTGAGGATGATCTTTTTAGAAATAAGTAAATAGTATGTTTCTATTAACAAAGGTGGTGAAGGTTATATGTATTATAAATAAGAGAAGAAACTGGTGAATGGAATGAAAGAAGAAGAAGATAAGAAGGGAGAAAACATGTCTGGTTAGCCAAGTTATCCACTATGTGTAAGCGGGACTTGCACTGGTATTTTGTGCTGTGCGCAAGGTAACCTCCTTTCTCTCTTCTTCTATTTCATGATTTAGATTTTGGTTACATCAATGTGACTGGCAGGACATAAGTCCAGGTGGCCTGAACTGTTGGGGGAAGAAACAAGTAGAAGTTGTTGCAAATTATTGAAAAATAGTATTGTAGTATTATAATCTAAAAATTTCGTTTCAATAATAAAGTTAACAAAATGTGAAATTAAAATAGAACCTGTAATCGGATGGAACTGAATAAATAGAAGAAAAGTTTTGTTGAGGCCTGAATAATCAGTTTCTTTACGAGATTCGTCCTCTCCTCGGTGCTTTGAGTAACGTTGGACGTCGGTCTCCCAGGATACAACAACAAACGTTCACAACAGTAAGCACAACCGTAGTGAACAATCGAACACAATCTTTGTTTTTTATCTATCACCGGAAAATGACTTTGGAAGAATCGAATAATTGAAAGGAAAGTATTTGAAAGAAAATAGTAAAAAGTTGTGTGTTGAGATGTGTCACAACTTAGCCTTTATATAGGGAGATGAATTTGTATTGAAAGGTTAAGACCTTTAAATGAAATGACTTAACCATTTGATTAAAAATTATAACCTTTTGATCAAAAGGTTAACATGGAAAGACATGACTTTTGGGGTGAAATGAAATAATTATTTTTCATGAAAAGACTTAATTATTTTTCATGAATAGTCATGATTGAATAAATCAATTCATTCATATTTTTCCAACAATCCCCCACATGAATGAATTTGATTGTTTAAAACATTGATTCGATGTGGTGATAGATTCTACATTCGATATTTGCATATGATAGGTAGGCGTCCCCTTTTGATCATTCCCTTGTGAAAATATGTTTACCTTACTGGCTGTCCAGTAGACGTGATGTCCTTAAACTGTCTTGTCGTTTGTGTAAGCGATGACATACCTTACACAAATATCTTACTGACAAGAGTTTGGTTCTCATGGTTATGTCCATATAGCCGTGGACATCTTCTGGTTCTGTAAGAGCTTAGAGAACTATGCCCCAATAGTCTCTTATGTTGTTCGGTTCAACGAAACACATATTGGTCATTAAAAGCATTGCTTAACCTTATCCACATTTTAGTCACTGTTTTCATTATAGGAATGGGCTTGGGGATAAAACCCCCCACAGTGACCTCACAAGGTCTATGCAAGTAGGTTGTCTCATTGAACCTAGATCTTGGTATCTCCAGTCAACTAGGTTGGGTTTTCCTTCATATAGAGTCTTAACAATTCATGGACTTTAGTCCCATTCCTCTTGATGTTTTATCAACTTGATCTTGATTCAACCCTTTGGTTAGCGGATCCACAATGTTATCTTTTGATCTTACAAAATCAATAGAAATAACTCTAGTTGAGATTAATTGTCTAATGGTATTGTGTCGTCGTCGCATGTGTCTCGACTTACCATTATACATTACATTTTTTGCTCTACCAATTGTTGCTTGGTTATCACAATATATTACAGGCTTTGGCCATTCAAGAATATCCTCCAAAAAATTTCGTAATCATTCTTCCTTTTCTTCAGTTTTGTCCAAGGCTACAAACTCAGATTCCGTCGTGGATCTGTTTATAATTGTTTGTCTTGAGGATTTCCATGACACAACTCCTCCTCCCAATGTGAAAATATAACCACATGTGCCTTTGGTATCTTGAATATTGTTGAGTTAATCGATTGATGGAATCGGACAAGAGGGGGTGAATTGGCAATTAAAATTTTGGTGGAAGCTTTTACAGAAAATTGAAAGTAATTGCACATCGATTTAGAGTGGTTCAACTTTCTCAACCAAAGTCTACATACACTACCTTAGCTATCCACACTAAGAATTTTCTAACAAATTCACTAATTTGTTCTTTCTTTTGAGGCCAAAGAGATAGCCTTACAACTCCCTCAAGAATATACCCCAATTCTTGAGAACACTCTTTCTCAAAGAGAAGATTACAAATTTGAAAACTTACAAGGAAATCATCACAAGGTAGATTGTTTGCACAATTCTAGAACAAAGAAAAGAACACTAAAAAATGAATACAATTGAGTACAAGTAGTGTTCTTGAAAGAAAAATGAATATTGAATGAAAAATAGGCTTCAAATGCTCAAACTTGAGGTTTGATGATTTCTCTTTGATTCTCTCTTGATTCTAGTTGATTGATGTTTCTTGTTTTTGATCATGGCTTCTAAGCTTGTTTAAATACTCCTTCAATTGATTCTGAACGTTGGGATGATTAGTGGAGTCAATAGAGTCGTTTAAGTGTGAAAACAATTAATAAAATCAGTTGGGAGCGTCAGTGCATCGATGCATACACAAGGTGCATTGTGCATCAAGTTTAAAATTCAAATATTTTAACCGTTGGAACACTTAGTGCATCAGTGCACTAAGTGTGCATCGATGCATAAAATGCAATCGATGTTTTCATTAAAACCTGAGTGCATCGATGTATGGAGAGTGCATCGATGCATAAATTGCATTCGATGTTCAATTTATTCATTGGTGCATCGATGCATGGATTGGTGCATTGGTACATTCCTTTGAAAAATTGATTTTAGGCTTGATTTTGGTTCAAAATACTTTGTGAAAATTGTTTAAAAAATATATTAAGTATAAAACACAAGTTTACACATTTAGTAAGGTTTGAAATTGATTTTTGAAAGACTTGGAGTAATAATTTGATATTCGATCAATTGAATCGAATATACTTATAAAAATCTTTGTAAAATCTTAAAATTCATTTATACTTAGTTTGTTATATCGAAACATCAAAATATTTTCAACAATCTCCCCCTTTTGGATATAACAAAACACTTGAGTAATTTTAAGATTTGTTTTAAAAATTTATTTTTGAAATCAATTTGAAAAGTTGAAAATTACTTACTCCCCTTACTATGATACACCTTCTCACCCTTTTTGTTAAATCAAAAAAAGACTCTAAAAAAATTTAGCCAATTTATTTAATAATAATATTAAGCTGCTAAGATCACAATCAAGAGAGATATTAGCCATTAGTTTCATAATCAATATTCATATCGAATGTGAAATGGTAAATTGGTCATATACGTCTAAAGATGCAAAAATAAGAAAATTCTAACCAAACTAAACATATATGTATTAAGTTCTTATAGACAAAACAACCAAATCATTAATCCAAACATTCAATCATCCAAAATAAACAAACCATAAACATCAAAATCAATCCAAGTTTTAAATCCAAGAAAGCATAACAAGGAAAAATCTACTCCATCGGAGGATCGGGATGAGGAGGAAATCGTGTTTGCATCTCAAGAGAGAGATCATCCATACGTGCAAGCATATTCCATTGAAACTCCATTTGTTGAGCTTCCAAAAGTGTCTAAGCGATGATTCACCGCTTCGTTGTTAGCAATCAAATGGGATTCGATGGAAGTAAACCGTAGATCAAATATCTCCAAAAATGAACGAAAATATGGAGACACTTGATCCTCTTGTGGTGCCGGTGCATTGTCGGGATTGTTAATGTCTTGAAATAATCCTTGAAGCTCGGGATCATCATCTGTAGCCGGTGCCGGAGGAGGAGGAGGAGCACGAGAAGAGCTAGGAGCTGAAGGTGCTCGTGAAGAACTTGCTCCCTGAGTTTGCTTAGAGGGTCGAAAGACCCATTGACCATTTTCCTCGTCCTGTTTCCAATCAGCTTTCTTCAACGAGATGAGATTGATTTGGTTTTGAAGAGGAATGGGATTGTCAAGAGAGACGTTAAGACCAAGTTTGATAAAAAGGTTACTAAGAAGACATCCATAAACTAATGTTTCGACATGTTTTGAAGGAATAATGTTTATGGTATCCACTAGCTCACTAAATATAATATGTGGCAAATTTATTTTGTTCTTATTCTTGATACAGTGCATCCACCATAAATCCCTAATACGAAGAGTGGAGTACCTACCTATGGATGGTCTAAACCACCAAGAAATCATCAAATGAAGAAAACGATCGTGATGAGATAGTAGGGTACTAACACTAGCATTTGGAATATAGGGATATTCCATAGTTTCTTTCTCATTATATAAACCATCGTCATCTAGCCCAAAATGTGAAGTTATAGTCTCGGAGTCAATATTAACATATTGTCCTAAAAGGTAGAATCTGATTGTTATAGTTCCACATTGAGTATGGTTTTGAATACATACCGCATTAGAGTGGAAAATGCAGACTAATTGATGATAGACGATAGGTTTTAGGGAAAACATTTTATCAAACTTCCATGTTTTGAGAATTGGAAGGTTTTCGAAGTCAATATCAATCATGGCTTGAACAGAAGGAATACGTTCTTCCCGGATTCTATAAGATTGGAAAGAATTCATGTACCTATGGTACAATTCTTCTCTACGACTTTTATGCATATTAAAATAGGATCCTATAAGATTTGAGGGTTGAGGAGGAAAGGGATTAAAAGGTTGGATAGAACGACTAGAAGAGGTCCTAGGGCGTTTAGGATTTGATATGGTTTAAGGAATCGAAATAAGAAAAGTAACTTGTAATTTGAAAAACACATGTATGCAATTTAATCATTCCCAAAACTCAATTGAGTCCGCAATAATTCAAGGTTCTCTAAACTATATCCTAATAGGCAAGGTTTTGAAAACTATTTGAAAATAATTTTTTGAAAAATCATAATATGTATAGTTTTCATGAAAAACAACATAATTGAGTCAAAAACATCTAAATAAATCAAAAGATTTTCGAATTTTTATTTTATTTTTTGTTTCGAATTTCAAATAAAATTTTGAAATATTGTGTGTTTTTGATGAAATTTGATGTAAAATCTAGTTTATAATTACCAAACAATCAATGCCCGATATAATGTTCATCCTAGAACTAATCTAAACTAGTTCTAAAATCAAAATATGATAAAATAGAGGTTTTTAGAAAAATACCTTGAAAATTTCGGATTGATTATAATGAGAAGTTGTTTTGCACGATTTAATGAAGTTAGCAGGATATAGAGATGAAAAGCTCGAAGATTCTGACTATTTTTTGGTGATTTTGAGCATAAGGAGAATTTAGAGAGGGAGAGAGATGAGTGGCAGGAGAGGGTTTAGTTTTAGGGTTTGAAACAAATAAAAAAAAAAGCCTTTTAAACCCAAAACCCGACGAATGCATCGATGCATGGCTTTGTGCATCGATGCATCTTCATGATGTATCGATGTACATACAAAGGGATGCATCGATGCACTGTTCAGTGCATCGATGCATTAAGCACAAAAATGACAAAAATATGTATTTAAACACTGAAAATGCAAAAATAAACTACTCTAGTGGTATTGACAACTCATATAACGAAAATTAATCATGTTCAATCAATTAATTTTATCCTTGAACTTCATTTGAACATATAATCAATTTTCACTAAAAATCATATACTCCCCCTAACTAAAAGCAAAGAATGCAATAAAAAATTATTATTAATATAAGCATTTTTCATTTATTCTTAAAAGTGCTAATATTAATTTAAACACTAAGTGAAGATAGGTCAGTTAAACTTAATTCTCTTCTAAGTGTCCAAAATCTTTCTTTGTCTAAAGGTTTTGTAAAATGTTCGCTAATTGGTGCAAAATATCAACAAATTCTAGAACTACATCTTCCTTAGTGACATGGTCTCTAATGAAGTGATGTCAAATTTCAATATGCTTAGTTCTAGAGTGTTTGATGGGATTTTTAGTGAGACAAATAGCACTAGTATTGTCACACTTGATAGGAATGGTACCTACTTCAATTCCATAATCAAAAAGTTGTTGTTTCATCCATAAAACTTGTGTACAACAACTACCGACTGAAATGTATTTCGCTTCAGTGGTAGATAATGCCACACAATTTTGTTTCTTTGAAAACCAAGAAATCAACATATTTCCAAGGAATTGGCAAGTATCGAAGGTGCTTTTCCTATCTAATTTGCATCCACCATAATCCGCATCAGAGAAGGCATGCAAGCTAAAGCTAGAGTCTCTAGGATACCAAAGTCCTAAACTAGGAGTGTCCTTAAGGTATCTAAAGATTCTCTTAACAGCTAGTAAATGTGATTCCTTAGGACATGATTGAAATCTGGCACATAAGCAAACACTAAACATAATGTCCGGTCTACTTGCAGTTAAATAAAGCAAAGAGCCAATCATTTACCTATATAATTTAACATCCACACATTTACCTCATTCATCTATGTCAAGCTTTGTTGATGAGATCATTGGAGTGTCATGAGGTTTCCCATTTTCCAGACCAAACTTCTTGAGCATATCTTTGACGTACTTAGCTTGATTGATAAAGATGCCATCTTTTTTTTGCTTGATTTTGAGTCCCAAGAAAAATGAGAGCTCCCGCATCATGCTCATCTCGAATTCTCTTTGCATTAGCTTAGAAAATTCTTGGCAAAGAACATCATTAGTAGAACCAAATATTATATCATCAACATAAATTTGAACTACTAATAAATCTTTACCTTTATGCTTTAAAAACAATGTAGTGTTAACTTTCCCTTTTGAAAAACCTTTTTCGATTAAATATTTTGACAATCTTTCATATCAAGCTCTAGGAGCTTGTTTTAAACCATAAAGAGCTTTTGTCAATTTAAGAACATGATTTGGAAATTTTGAATCTTCAAAACCAGGAGGTTGTTCCACATACACTTCTTCTTTTATAAAACCATTTAAAAATGCACTTTTAACATCCATTTGATATCATTTGAATTCATTGAAACATGCAAATGCTAATAACATTCTAATAGCTTCCATCTTAGCTATGGGAGCGTATGTTTCATCATAGTCTATGCCCTCTTCTTGAGTATACCCTTGAGTAACAAGTCTAGCCTTGTTTCTCACTATATTACCACTTTCATCAAGCTTATTCCTAAATACCCATCTAGTACCTACAGTAGATTTATTACTAGGCCTTTCAACTAATGTCCATACTTTACTTCTCTCAAATTAATTTAACTCTTCTTGCATAGCCATGATCCAATGTTCATCATTTAATGCTTCTTTAATATTTTTAGGCTCTATGCATGAGATAAATGCAACATAATTACAGATATTTCTAAGAGAAGATTCAGTTGTTACCCCTTTGGATGGATCACCTATTATTTCACCATCCTTGACATAGTTGTATTCCCTTGGGTAAGAGACTTCCCTTTCTTCAATGGTTGGATTCTCGAGAGGATCTTGAGTTTCCTCATCTTTTGTTTCTTCCTTTGATGATGGCTCTCCAACGTCATGTCCAACATCATTTATATTTATAATACCTACATCATTATTCACACAAGAATCCTTCCTCGGAAGGGGATTATCATCGAAAACAACATGTATAGACTCTTCTACAACTAAAGTTCTTTTATTAAATACTCGTTAAGCTTTAGATTTAAGGAATAACCCAGAAAAATTCCTTCATCACTTTTAGCATCAAATTTGCCAAGATTGTCCTTACCGTTGTTTAAAACAAAACTTTTACATCCAAAAGGATGAAAATAGCTAATGTTAGGCTTTTTATTTTTGAAAATTTCATATGTAGTTTTCTTTAAAATTGTCCTAATCATTACTCGATTTACAACATAACAAGCGGTATTTGTGTCTTCCGTCGAAAAATATTTTGGCAAATTATTTTCACAAAGCATAGTTCTATCCATTTCTTCTAAAGTTTGATTTTTCCTCTCAACCACTCCATTTTGTTGAGGGGTTCTAGGTGCTGAAAAATTATGGCTAATACCATTAGAATTGCAAAACTCAGTAAATCCAAGATTTTCAAATTCAATGTCATGATCACTTCTAACACTAGTGATAGAGTAACCTTTTTCGTTTTGGATTATTTTTGAAAATGTGATAAAATGTTCTAATGCTTCATCTTTAGTACTTAAAAATAGAACCCAAGTATATCTAGAATAGTCATCTACCAAGACAAATGCATATTGTTTTCCACCCAAGCTAGTAGTCTTAGTTGGCCCAAAAAGATCTATATGGATCAATTATAATACTCTACTAGTTGATACTTCATTAATGGATTTAAAAGAAACTCGCTTTTGTTTTCCTTTAGCACAAGCATCACAGATTTTATCAATATCAAATTTTAGTTTAGGCAACCCTCTTACTAAGTCTCCTTGAATTAGCTGTTGTAAAACACTCATACTAGCATGTTCTAGTCTCCTATGTCATAACCAACTATCATGCTTATCCTTAGCAAGTAGGCATAAATTAGTCATATCTATAGAATCTAAATGCACCATGTAAATGTTTCCTATTCTATGACCAACAAGCATAATCCGATTAGATGCAATGTCAATAACTTTACAACCATTAGTTTCAAACATGACATTGAATCCCTTATCACAAAATTGACTAATACTCAAAAGATTATGCTTTAATCCATTCACATATAAAACATTCTTAATTTGTATGGAAGAGGTATTACCTATAGTGCCTATACCTTCAATGTGACCTTTTGAGTTATCACCAAAAGTCACCTCTCATCCATTTTTGGCGTTGAGCTCTATGAACCGGCTTTTGTCTCCGGTCATGTGTCTTGAGCATCCACTATCAAGGTACCATGAGTTTGAGTTTGTTTCCCGTGCCTTGTAGTAATGCTCATTTTCCTACAAACATAGATTAATTTTTAATTTTTGGTACCCAAATTCTTTTGGGTTCATATTCATTAGTTTCCAAAATCCTAGTCCCCATAGGTATCTATTTGTGTAGGATATCCTTACCTTTAGTAGTAATGAGTCCTTTAGGAACCCATATACTTCTAACAATTTTTCTATTAGAGGTTCTTCGGGGACCTTTATGATTGTAGTTTTTAAAACTTTTTCTAACAAAGTTGGTTTTTTGAATTTTCTCCTTTTTCAAAACGTTTTGATCCAACTTTATCAAAAGAAGTTTTAAGATCATCAATTTTCTTTTGATGATCATCATTGACCTTCGAAAGTAAATTTTGCAAATCCAAATTTTTCTTTTCAAACTCTTCTAGTTTGATTTGCAAAACACTAATTTTACTTTCAAGATCATTGTTGGTATTGGATATGAGATTGTTTTTATTTTTTAATTTCGAAATATCATTTTTATATTTTAAAAACAATTTCTCATAATCTGAAGACGACCCAGTATATTCCTTTAATAACTCATCATAAGATAAATCATCTAAATTAAATGAGTTAGAGGTTACCTTAGAATCTTCCCCGAATGCCATCAAGAACAAGTTTGCTACTTCTTGTTCTTCTTCATCGCTCCATGTAGCCACATGAGCCTTGTGCTTATTCTTTGATTGACCATTTCTCTTCAATTATGGGTAATCATATTTGACATGCCCCGTCTTTTTGCATTCATAGCAAATGATTGTGTCATTATCTTTTGGTTCATTTTTGAAGCCTTCATTTCGTTTGAATTTTCTTCCTCGGTTAGGCCTCATCATTTTTCTGAACCGTTTGGCAAACAATGTCATTTCCTCATCATCGTCATCTTCATCCGAATCACTCTCATCTTTTGTGGATTTGAGAACAACTCCAATATTTTTCTTCTTCTCTTTCTCCTTTGGTGTCTCATCAATCTTATTGAGCTCCACCTCATCTTCAAGCATCATTTCATGAGTGAGGAGGGAACCTATTAGCTATTCAAGAGTTAAGGACTTTAGGTTCTTAGCCTCGATGATTGTTGTCTTCTTTAATTGCCATGATTTTGGAAGTGAGTAAACTAACTTCCTTACAAGCTTTTCGTTTGGAATGATCTCTCCATATGATTTGAGACCATTAACAATCGTTGAAAATTTATCTGTCATAGCTTTGATGTCTTCATTTGGTTTCATCCTGAAATTTTCATAGCTATGTGTTAGAAGACTAATTTTAGATTCTTTTACCTCGACGGTGCCTTCATGAGTGACTTGCAGTTTATCTCATATTTATTTAGCGGTTGTACAAGATGAAACTCTTCCATATTCATCTGGTCCAAGAGCATAAAATATGATATGGATGGCTTTGGAGTTGAGCTGGAACATTCTCGTCCCTCCTTCACTCTACAATCTTATATGAGTGAGAGGCTTGATATATTCGTCTTCTACAATATTCCATGCCCCCATGTCACTTTCTTGAATGAAATACATCATCTTATTCTTCCAATAGGCATAGTTAGCTCCATTGAAGAAATGAGGCTTGTTGACGGGCATCGAATCGAGACCGGAGTTGAAGTTTGAAGTGGAGGCCATTGATGACTTGATTATCGATGTAACTCTTCCCGAATCGACTCAAGAGGCGATTAAACCTTCAAATGAGTGAGGCTATGATACTAATTATTGAGTTAATCAATTGATGGAATCGACCAAGAGGGGGTGAATTGACAATTAAAATTTTGGTGGAAGCTTTTGCAGAAAATTGAAAGTAATTGCAAAGTGATTTAGAGTGGTTCAACTTTCTCAACCAAAGTCTACATCCACTACCTTAGCTATCCACACTAAGTATTTTCCAACAAATTCACTAATTTGTTATTTCTTTTGAGGCCAAAAAGATAACCTTACAACTCCCTCAAGAATATACCCCAATTCTTGAGAACACTCTTTCTCAAAGAGAAGATTACAAATTTGCAAACTTACAAGGAAATCCTCACAAGGTAGATTGTTTGCACAATTCTAGAACAAAGAAAAGAACACTAAAAAATGAATACAATTGAGTACAAGTAGTGTTCTTGAAAGCAAAATGAATATTGAATGAAAAATAGGCTTGAAATGCTCAAACTTGAGGTTTGATGCTTTCTCTCTTGATTCTCTCTTGATTCTAGTTGATTATTGTTTCTTGTTTTTTATCAATGGCTTCTAAGCTTGTTTAAATACTCCTTGAATTGATTCTGAACGTTGGGGATTATTAGTGGAGTCAATAGAGGTGTTTAAGTGTGAAAATAATTAATAAAATCATTTGGGAGCGTCAGTGCATCGATGCATACACAAGGTGCATCGGTGTATCAAGTGTAAAATTCAAATATTTTGACCATTGGAACACTTAGTGCATCGGTGCACTAAGTGTGCATCGATGAAAATGCAATCGATGTTTTCATTAAAACCTGAGTGCATCGATGCATGGAGAGTGCATCGATGCATAAACTGCATTCGATGTTCAATTTATTCATTGGTGCATCGATGCATGGATTGGTGCATCGGTGCATTCCTTTGAAAAATTGATTTTAGGCTTGATTTTGGTTCAAAATACTTTTTGAAAATTGATTCAAAAATATATTAAGTATAAAACACAAGTTTACACATTTAGTAAGGTTTGAAATTGATCTTTGAAAGACTTGTAGTAATAATTTGATATTCGATCAATTGAATCGAATATATTTATAAAAATCTTTGTAAAATCTTAAAATTCATTTATACTTAGTTTGTTATATCGAAACATCAAAATATTTTCAACAAATATCATATATCCAACTGGCATCAGAGAATCCTTCTAACACAGCAGGATCTATAGAATAATGCAATCCATAGTTTCGAGTATATCTGAGATATTTCAATACCCTTACAATTGTTTTCCAGTGTTTTTCTCCTGGATTGCTTGTAAATCTGCTTAAACTCCTTACAGTGAAAGCAATATCAGGTCTAGTGCAACTCATAAGATACATTAGACTGCCTATGATACTTGCATATTCTACTTGATTAACACTTTCAGTTTTATTTTTAGATAGATATTGACTTGTATCTATCAGAGTTTTGGCTACACTAGAATCATCCTTGCCAAAATTTTCAAGAATCTTGTCTACATAGTGTGACTGAGTTAATATGAGACCTTCAGATGACCTTTTGATTTGGATGCCTAAAATCATGTCAGCAAGTCCCATGTCTTTCATGTCAAATTTTGAATTTAACATATTTTTGGTACGCTTTATCATTTCATTGTTACTTCCAACAATGAGTATGTCTTCAACATATAGGCATAGGATTACATATCCATCAATAGTGATTTTGACATACACACATGTGTCACACTCATTTATTTTAAATCCATTTGATATCATAAAATTATCAAACTTTTTATGCCATTGCTTTGGTGCTTGCTTAAGTCCATATAATGACTTTACCAACTTACATACTTTCTTTTCTTGTCCTGGAGCTACATAACCTTCAGGTTGTTCCATGTAAATTTCCTCATCAAGGTCTCCATTAAGAAAAGCGGTCTTAACATCCATTTGATGTACTTCTAAATTCCGTAAAGTGGCAATTGCAAGTATCATTCTCATAGAAATTATTCTTTATACGGGTGAATATGTATCAAAGTAATCAAGACCTTCCTTTTGTCAATACCCTTTAATAACCAATTTGGCCTTGTACTTATCAATTGTTTCATCTGCTTTCTTTTTTCTTTTAAAAATCCATTTAGAATTTAATGGTTTAATTCCATGTGGAAGTGTTGAGTTAATCGAATGACGAAATTGGCCAAGAGGGGGGTGAATTGGCAATAAAAATTTTGTGGAAGCTTTTGCAGAAAATTGAAAGTAATTGCACAGCGATTTACAGTGGTTCGACTTTCTCAAACAAAGTCTACGTCCACTACCTTAGCTATCCACACTAAGGATTTTCCAACAAATTCACTAATTTGTTCTTTCTTTTGAGGCCAAAGAGATAACCTTACAATTCCCTCAAGAGTATACCCCAACTCTTGAGAACACTCTTTTCTCAAAGAGAAGATTACAAATTTGCAAACTTACAAGAAAACCTCACAAGGTAAGATGTTTGCACAATTCTAGAACAAAGAAAAGAACACTCAAAGATGAATACAATTGAGCACAAAAAGTGTTCTTGAAAGCAAAATGAATATTGAATGAAAATAAGCTTGAAATGCTCAAACTTGAGGTTTGATGCTTTCTCTTTGATTCTCTCTTGATTCTAGTTGCTTGATGTTTCTTGTTTTTGATCAATGGCTTCTAAGCTTGCTTAAATACACCTTGGATCACTTCTGAACGTTGGGGATGATTAGAGAAGATATTATAGCCGTTTTAGTGTGAAAACATTTAATAAAACAGCTTGGAGCCTGGGGGGAATCGGTTCCCTCTCATAGGGAATCGGTTCCCTAAGTGTAAAATTCAAATATTTCGACCGTTGAACAGGGGGGAATCGGTACCCCCTTGGGGGGAATCGGTTCTCTCCGAGCATTCTGGAAATCTCGGAGCCAAACCATTCAGGGGGAATCGGTTCCTCCTATGGGGGGGAATCGGTTCCCTCTGAGCAATCTGGAATTTTTGGCTTTGAATTGGTTCGAAATACTTTGTAAAATTATTTTGAAATTGTTTTATGATTAAAACTTAATTTTACACTTAAGTAAGGATCAAGAATGATTTTTGAAATATTTGGAGTAATGTTTTGATATTCGAATAGTTATATCGAGTATACTTAGAAAATCATTTTGAAAATCTTAAAATCCATTTAACTTAATTTGTTATATCGAAATATTAAAATGTTTCAACAATCTCCCCCTTTTTGATATAACAAAACATTTTAGTAATTTTAAGATTTTTGAAATCAAGTTTTGAAATTACTCCCCCTTACTTTAACACTTCTTCAATTTATCATGTAAAACATTTAACACTTATTCTTCTCCCCCTTTTTGTTAAATCAAAAAGACATTGTAAAACAAGGTTTTGAAAATCATTTAGCCAATTGATTTATTAATTATAAGCTTAAGCTGCTAAGATCACAATCAAAGAGAGGTTAGCCATTAGTTTCATAAATCAATATTCATAAATAATGTGATATGGCAAAATTGGTCATATTGCTAATGATAATGTAATGATGCAAAATGAATAAAACACCAAACATATAAGTTCACACCATTCATAAATCCAAAATCCAACAATCCACAAAATCAAATAATTCAAAATGTTGAAACAATATTCATTTTGTTCAAAGTTTTAAAGATAAACATAAAATTAAGCATCCGGATCGGTAGGAGGAAAACGGGCTCGCATAGCGGCCATCTCGTGTGTGAGTTCATTGATACGAGCGTTGGTTGATTCATTGTTTGCACGCATCTCCCGAAGAATCTCTAATTGTTGAGCTCCCATTGTGGATAAATGAGACTCTATAGAGGAAAAGCGCGAGTCCATGGTAGCGTATCGGAAATCGAATGTCTCCATAAAGGATTGAAAATATGGAGGCATTTGATGCGTTTGTTGTGCTTGCTCCTCGGGCTGCTCTTCGGGCTGATCAGGCTCATCTTCGGTTTCATCGATATCTTGCATTAATTACTCAAGCTCGGGATCTTCGTCAGCTTCGGGTGGAGCTTGTGAAGAACTAGCTCCCGGAGTAGAAGATCGAACCCATTCACCGGTTTCTTTGTCCTTTACCCATCCCGCTCTCGTTAAGGAAAGAAGATTTATTTGTTTCTTAAGAGGAAAAACGGCATCTAGACCGACTCTAAGCCCAGCTTTGGAAAACAGATTACTCAAAAAGCAACCGTAAACTAGAGATGAACAGTGTTTCTTGTTAGGAACAAGATTTACGGTTTCAACAATTTCAGCAAAAATAATCTGAGGTAGGTTAATTTTAATACGGTTTTCGAAACAATGTAACCACCAAAGATCCAAAGCTCTAAGAGTAGAATAACGACCTCCGGATGGTCGAAACCACCAAGAAATCATTAGATGAAGAAAACGCTCATGTAGGTCTAAGACACTCGCACTATCTCTCTTCTTTTATAACGAGAACCTAAAATTTGTTTTTCATTCGAAATACCATCATTATCTAATCCAAATGTATTGGCTATATATGCAGGGTCAATATATAAGAATTGTCCTAGGAGGTAGGAACGAATTCCTATGGTTTCGGTTTCAGCTTGGTTTTTAACACATACGGCATTAGAGTAGAATATACGAACAAGTTGATGGTAAACGATGGGTTCAAGATCAAATAGTTTATCAAATTTCCATTCTTGTAAAATGGGAAGATATTTAAAATCGATAGCTAACATAGCTTGACGAGAAGGAATACGTTCTTCCCGGATTTTGTAAGAATCGAAATATTGATAATACCAAAATCGGTGATTTCTAGACCCAGGATGATTAAAACACGAATTTTGAATAGTCAAGTTAGGATCAGTGGGATTGAGATTAGAAATTGGAATAGAAGGAGGATTTGGAGGTGGATTTGGTTGACGACTAGAACGACTAGATGAAGACCTAGGACGTTTAGGATTTGACATGGTGAAGGAAATCGGAATAGATAGAATAACCTGCAATTTTAAAACAAATGTATGCAACTCAATTAATCCCAAAACTTAATTGAGTCCTCAATATTTCAAGGTTCTCTAAATCAATCCTAATGGGCAAAGTTTTTGAGAAACTTTTGAAAAATATGGTTTTGAGAAACAATATATGTATAGTTTTCATAATAACAACATAATTTAATCAAAACACAATAATTTGAAAAATAACATTTTTTTTATTTCGAAAATTAAAAAAATTTTGAAAAATTCTTGTGTTTTTGATGAAATTAGTTGTAACATCTAGTTTCTAATCACTAAATAATCAATTACCGATCACTATTTCAACCTAGAACTAATTAAAACTAATCCTATGTTCAAAATTAATGAAATAAAGAGTTTAGAAAAATTACCTTGAAAGATGAAGATTGAGGGGATTTAGATGTTGTTTGCACGACTTTAATGATTTCAACATGTTTAGAAGATGATATATGAAGTAAATTCCGATTAATATCATCGATTTGAGACAAAAATGGAGATTTGAGGGTGTAGAAGGTGAAGAACGGCGGAAGAGAGAGGAAAATGAGGGTTTGGGATTTTGGGGGTGTTCTGTCGATTTTAACAGAACCCCAGGGGGGTATCGATTCCCCTGTGTGGGGGAATCGGTTCCCCTTCAAAGGGGGAATCGGTTCCCTCAGGGGGGGATCGATTCCCTCTGCACCAAAATGCTAAAATCCGATTTTTTAAGCACAAAATGCTAAATTAATCTTTTCTAGTGGTATTGGCAACTCATATATCAAAAATTAATTATGTTCAAACAATTAAATTAATCTTTAATCGATTTTTGAACATAAAATTAATTTTCACTAAGAATCACAAACTCCCCCTAACTAATAGCAAGAATGCAATCAAAAATTATTATTATAAGCATTTTTCAAGATTTATTAAAAGTGCTAAAATTATTTTAAACACTAAGTGAAGATAGGTTGGTCAAACCTAATTCTCTCCTAAGTGTCCAAAATCTTTCCTTGTCTAAGGGTTTTGTAAAGATATCCGCTAATTGGTGCAAAGTATCAACAAATTCTAGAACTACATCTTCCTTAGTGACATGGTCTCTAATGAAGTGATGTCTTATTTCAATGTGCTTAGTTCTAGAGTGTTGGATGGGATTTTTAGTGAGACAAATAGCACTAGTATTGTCACACTTGATAGGAATAGTACATACTTCAATTCCATAATCAAAAAGTTGTTGTTTCATCCATAAAACTTGTGCACAACAACTACCAGCTGAAATGTATTCGGCTTCAGTGGTAGATAATGCAACACAATTTTGTTTCTTTGAAAGCCAAGAAATCAGCATGTTTCCAAGGAATTGGCAAGTACCGGAAGTGCTTTTCCTATCTAATTTGCATCCTCCATAATCCGCATCAGAAAAGGCATG